GATATTGGAAGTATGAAGCAAAAGTGTGGTCACATCCGTTGCCCTTCAAGTGAAGAGGTTGTAGGAGGATCACTGTCCTTGTGCAATATGTTATTAGATGATCCAACAAACATACAAACAATGGACGGGGAGACTAACGTGATTGGATGTGGATCATCAAATTAGCCATAACCCTGTTAGACTAACAATTCCTGCATCTGCAGGACAGTCAGTCCTGTTCTGACTCGCAGTTTGACAGACCAGAGTACAGGGTGGGTGAGGAATTCGAAATGTTGATTGGGATGATGAATCTGAAGACGGGCACCAGCTGATAACAGCTGGAGGCTGGCTAACATTGAATATGCTATGCTATTTACTCACGGGTTTCTTTCTATAACAGCTTTGACCGTGAAGGCGAGTTCCATTCCTTGTCTTGTTGTCAATGTAGTCGCAATAAGCAATATCCTTGCTCGTCTCCTTGTGTTTTTGCTGATCCACAATCATTCGCAAGTGAGCAGCCCTGAAGAGGAGACCCGACCAGACGTCTCACCTGTGCCGTGGTCCACTCCCTCTTCAACAGAAAATCAAGACCGATCCCATGATCAGCAACTAGACATTCGATTTTGAACCGCTCGGTCATGAGCCGGTATGTACTGTGACAATGTTTGTATCTTATCTGCACTAAATTTGTGTGTCTGACAAGCACAAGGTCAAACCAACGGCATTTCCCAGATTGGACTTGCAAATCGGCCTCAGCTTTTGAAGCATTGGCATCTCGATGAGACTACAGATCTAGTTAGATCGCTCCGAACCATGATAATCGCGAGCACAGACGATCCGGGGTGAAGAGTAGACCACCCAATTACCCTCTCGCGATAGCTTCGTTTCGCTATCGCGATCCCACTACCCGAGCACCAAGCCAAAGTCCCTCGACATGTACCGCAGATCTCGTCTGAATCTCCCCATGTTCATGCTTGCTGCCGGGTCAGCAACTTCTTTGCAACACGGATGCTCTTCCGCTCCATTTGACCTGCAGAACCACCCCGGCTTCATGCTTGAGCGTTATGTATTTATGCGTGAGCTCATCGTTCCAACAGGCAATCACTGCTCAAACATGAGCTTCACGGTGATCTTGATAGGCCAGCCTGCACGCTGTGACCAGACGTAATGCAGACTGTGACATGGTAGGCTGGTATGGATGCGGCCACAAGTGAATGTAGTGCAGATTCCCCCACGTCCATTGCTTCACCGCCGCACCGGATGGGTGCGGGGATGATTTTCGTACGAGAAATTGGCTCCCTTATATCCTCACCTGATCGATCATATCTTCCCCATTCGGTTATGGGTGTTTCGATCACATTGGCAATGCAGTCTGGAACATGGTCTCGTATGCAAGCCACACCGCTGCTGTAAACAATGAATGCATTCCACCAAACGACTGAGGTTGGTTTCCCGGGGATTTTGTGTTACTAGGATTTGATAACCAAGTACGGAGTACCTACGACGAAATAAGCTTCTCAATAAAGAAACCGGCAGGGAAGTAATTTTCAGCTGTTATATCCACAATGAAATACACTTGACTGTTTAAAGCGAACTTTCAGTTGAGCCGCAACGGCTTTCAATGACTCTGCTGAGAACGGAGGCTGTGTGTGCTTGTCTTACCACGTTTTGCTCTGTGGATAAACGGGATGTTGGATATGGTGTTACAAGAGGAGAGAAGACCCCCCCCCTGGGACAAAACGACATACGTAGGACCATTAACAAGAGGTAAATTACCGTCTCCGGACAGTAGGTAGCACAACGAAAGCTGAGAGACTTAGCCGCCAACGAGGTTCCCATAGGACATTTCCCTCGCACTCGTTTCTGTCCTATTCTCAAGGACCCATGCACAGGACAGAACCAACACAATGCTTGTTAGGTATGCTCTGTGATCAATAAAAGAATAACAACTGCCTTATGAGGTGATTCAATAAACGCTTATCCCTTCGTCACAACTGTTGGACGCCCACACAGGAAAATGGTATTGTTGATCGTTTCGCTTTGTGACTCTTTCTCTAGGGAACGATTCGATTATGTTATCCGTTTTATAACCAATTTCGATCGATCATAGACAGGGGAAAAGGTCGCCTATGGCTCCTTTTGGAGCTTAGAGACATCATGTCAATAGAAACGTCTACCAATACCATTCTAGATATACCATATCCCTCCTCTTGCAAACCGAAGAAATTTAATAAGCAACTAAACTGATACAACATGACTCAATTACATTGGTACGATGGTAAAAAGCTGGGGTTAGATGGATTGTTCTAACTTGAGACATCGGCATGCAAAGGTGATCCAGGATAAATAGCAATTCTTGAGACATCACGCAACCAGTACTTGGTAAACAACTTGTTGATGTTTTCGGGGCCTGCCAGGTATTCACGCTTTCGTGACAATAGAACCGATAATGTTCGTTGGTTCATGTTATTGAACGTTGCTATATTATAAATGATGTTCCCCTCTTTCTTATGTCTGTTAAGATTTTGCCCGTTGTCCATGTCCCCCCTCCGAGATATTGAGGTCAATCATGTTCACCATCTTGCCTCCCAGCTATGTCAAATAACTTGCAGCCTCGGCCAACCTACCTTCAAAAATACGCACTTTAAGGGGGAAAAATGAGCACTGCTGCCCCAACCTTCGAAGGACTAGCAAAGTCCACTTCTTACAAGTCACCTGCAACAGCGGATCTTAGACCAGCTTACAAACATAATATATCTGAACAAGGCCGCACTATTGAAGACGATCACCCAGCTGAAGAAGAACCATTGGAGTGCTTGGTCTATTATCTCTTGTCACATTCCATCTTTCGGCTGGCTCGAAAGCCACTGATCAGCTACCTTCGGGACCAAGCCACCATCAAGCCTATTCGCCAAAGTCCGTCGCTTGAGATCATCACCGACCTACCTTCAATGCTCTTCGGTAGCCTTCCGTTGTTAATATCGATATGGGCATTGACCAGCTACTGTTGGATCCCTTTTTGCGGACTGATGATATGGGAACGTACGGGCTCTGATGTCGTATATAAATGCCTGTTATGGATCCTGAAAGGGTTTGGGATTGTGATGAATTTTATGGGAAGAACATATGAGGCCATCACTACGATAAAAGCTTCTACAGTCATATCTAACGGAGCTCGACGGGGTTTACAGTGGGTAGACGGCCAGATGGAGGACGATGGACCGCTCGGGAGTCTTTTATATCCCCATTATGAGGCCTCCTAGCACAGCAATGGTTAGAATACGATAAGGGTGATGGTACATTATGCCTGTTAGATAAAGAGTATATCGTCGACGTAATGATAAGACGAAGAAAATGTGGCTACAGAGCTTGCCACCGAATAGCTTCGGACACGAAGACAGTCATATTGATCCCGAATAAGCAATTCACTGAATATGCTGAAGATCGTTAGCATCTCGAGGTTGGCCTGTCTGTGATGGTAAGAGGCGTTTGGCACAGCAATGTTTGGAAAGCTTGGGTCTTGACGCAACATGATCAGTGGATGAAATCCGAAGACAAGCTCCAGAATGGCCGCGACTATGCCTCGATCCATTCCTGGTAACAGAGCGGCCTGTCCCTAGCGAACGAGATCGGTTAAAGTTAAAAGAACCACGAACTTTGATCGTGACAGATGAGGAACGATGATCTAATCTACTAGGACCAATGGGGATTGTTTGGCTGCTGAAATTATCAGGGTCTCAAAGATAGATGCAAGGAAACCGGAAGCGTGCATGCGAATAAGCCACAGCCGACGCCTCTGATGACTGTTTTCCATTGTACGGACCTGCATGAACGGCCATTGACCGCTGACGGGACCTTATTGTTTGGATGCGACCACAACGTTGACCATGAATGTCACGTCACCTTTGCAACTATATTTGCCCTTGACAAGCATTTAAGGGGTGTTCACTGTTGTCCCCTTGACAACAAAAGAATGATCTGGCAGGTAAACACATAGTTGACGCACAATAACTAAGTGTTCCAGATGGTTAGAGGCAGTTCAAAGACACGCGAATCGTCAAAGACGTCTGGACATTGTGTTGCAAGCGCGTGGTTACTCGTCTCCTTTGAGACTAAAGAACGGGCCAATTCATGCTTCCGTGGCGGTCACCTAGCCAGCCCCGGTCTTTGGCACTCCACTTGGCTTCCCCCGGACCGCCGTCACCTCCGCCGCCCAGTGAGGAGAGACCGTGAGAGACGCTTCGATGCCGGCCTTGGAGCGGATCGTCAACAAAGGTCAAGGGCTGTTGGACGCTGGAACGGTCCATGACATTGGCGAATGGATAAAATGAGCGGGTCTAAAAGAAGGGCTGTCACTGGTTGGCGATTCCTTGTCAATGCACCCGCCTTCAGTTCAGGGCACCTCTCAACTCTCAGGGCAGCCTGCGCTACTGCGCTACTGCATGCTGTAGCTGCCAGGGTCCAGATTATGGGCGGGCTACCCCTGGCCGGCTTCAACTTCTTACCAGGAGAAGGTGAATATCTAAATCAGACAACCTGACCCGAACCAAATCCAACCTTGTTGAAACTCCACCGCCAGCCTCGCACGATTGTTGAGACGCTCTTTTTGTGTCTACCGTAACTGCTTTTCCCGCTACTCCATCGCCACTCCTCCGTCCCTTGGCTCTTGAAAGAATTAGCTTATCCTTAGAGTTTGGGTAGGATTCCAACTCGGAAATCGACATCGCCCCAGGAGCTCCGTTTCAGCCTCTGGGACCACCCCTCGATGAGCCAACTTAACCGTACTTGAGGCGTCTTCTTCGACAGGCTGGTCCTTTCTTCGACCTCTGAACCTGATTTTCGACCTGCTGTTGTCGTCCATCTTTCTCTCGATATATACAAACCATAGCCAACACGCGACGAAACGCCTTATCATATCTGTTATCACAGGGGATTCCTGCCTGCCCGCTGGTGCTAGATTGTGTCTTTCGTTCCAGTCCCAGAGACTCTTGCACAGTTCTCCACCAAACTGACGGGCCGGTATGGACGCCCAAGTTAGAGAGAGCCTGCATGAGCCTCTCCCTTTGGCCGCGCCAACCGATCGAGGATCCATGATGGCACGAGACCCAGCTCCCGAGACCCCCAAGATGGCTCACGATTCTTTGGTAACGGTTCGCCTCTCCGAACCGGATCCTATAGTCCTTGATTCTCCCATTGCCACTTCGACAATTGATACAAACCAGACAACTCCTACCAAGGATCCGGTTGATGACCGCCCTGATACTCCCATATCTCGCAAGTCTAGCCTTTTGGTAGTTGACAAGGACGATAAGGACGAAAGGGACGATAGCCTGGACGACGAATCGAAAACTTTGATTAAGGAAGACGTGGTCGATACAGAGGCTTTGCGTTCTTCTTCAGCGACCATGCCACCGCCGATTTTGACAACGCGGTCACTACAAGACGAATTGGCCGATGACGGCAATATATCCGACGACCAGGACGAAGTGAACTGGGCACAACTTGAGCAAAAGGAAGACGAACAGACTAAGGATGAAGAAACAGATAACGTGAGTTGAGGCACTTCAACTGCCGAGATCTTGCAGCTAATTCGTGTAGTCAACTGCATTGTTGTTGGCCCGACTTGAACAGGAAAATGCAAAGCTGGCTACGAACCCAAAGAGCGTCAAAGTCCAAGGTGTTGACCGTGCTACTGCTGAACGTAGTGCAGTCAGCAGACCTCGACCGCCTTCAATGGCACAGCTTCGCCAGATGGTTCAGGGACCCACGCCTGCTGCCCTACGATATTCGATGCTACCACCACCTCCCATGACCGATCTCGAATTCTACGCCGCTCTCGTTAAAGACTACAAACAAACAGCTGCCCGACTTCCGACTCTTCTCTCAAATAAGATTCGTAAAGGTATCCCGCCACCGTTGCGTGGGGTGGTTTGGCAGAGCATGTCTGGAGCACGGGATGCTATATTGGAAGAACAGTTTGATCGCTTTTGCGGCGAGTCTAGTCCATACGAAGTTATAATTGGCAAAGACCTTGGCCGAAGCTTCCCAGGCGTAGACATGTTCCGAGACCCAGAGGGTGATGGACAGCGTATGCTTGGCCGCGTCCTCAAGTGCTTCAGTCTCTACGACACCAAGATTGGCTATTGTCAAGGGCTGGCCTTTCTGGTCGGCCCATTGCTGATGCACATGCCCGACAAACAGGCATTCTGTGTTTTGGTTCGGTAAGCCGCAGCTAATTTCCCTCCCTCACCTTGTCCACGGTGACATTGACTGACAAACAATCTCAGCCTCATGGAGCAATACGACTTAAGGGCGTGTTTCCTCCCTGATCTGTCGGGTCTCCACGTACGCATCTACCAATTCAAGGAGCTACTACGCCAAAGCCTCCCAGTCTTGTCGAATCACCTTGACGAGCTACAAGTTGACCCTGCTTATGTTTCGCAATGGTTTCTCAGCTTTTTTGCCGTGACCTGTCCCTTGCCGATGCTGTTTCGCACTTACGATGTGATCTTTGCAGAGGGCGCTTCAGAGACATTGATGAGAGTCGCGCTATCCTTAATGCGGAAGAACGAGGCGCGACTATTGGCTTGCACGGAAATGGAGGATGTGATGCAGCTTCTTTTATCTCGGGGCCTTTGGGATTGCTACCATTACAACGCTGATGAATTTGTTCAGGACTTTGTCGGGTTGACAGGTGCTGTTACCGCCGAAAACATGCAGCAGCTCGAGCAAAGTTACCGCGAGTCCAAGGCGGCCATCACCAACCCTGTCAGAGGTTCTGAGATAAGTACTGCAGCTAGCCGCTTCCTCGGCCGGATATGGGCTACCTCTACCAACAACAAATCTTCCAACCTTAGCCCAGGAAACACTGCACCTGCAAGACCTACGAGTATGCTGCGACGAAGCGCATCCAAGCAAAGTCTTGCATCGACATTGAACTCGATGGAGGCTAGCTCAGCTAGCGTCACAAGTTCTTCATCAACAGACGTAACCTCAATGTCGAGAGATTCTTCCAATACTGAGGATGGCCGGGAATCTACACCAGTCGGCAATAAGACAATAACAGCCCATAAAAACACAGACGAACGAAACTTGCATAGTCAGATCGAAGATCTCCTTACCGCTCTTAGTGAGCTCCAGCGCAACCATGCCTTATTATCGAACCAGCTGCAACGGGAACGCGAAGAGCGACAAGAAGACCGCAAGGCCGTACAGTCACTTTTGAATGGATTGAGACAGAAGGCAGACTCTGCTGCGTCAAGACCCAGTAGCCCACAGCCATTGGTCTTATCCGATAAAGAGGACATCTCAGGGGCGGACAAAGCTGAAAAGTCGGAGATGGAGGGAGACGAGTCTAAGACACCAAGTCTTGAGGAAAAGGCCCCAGCGAGCGACCACGAGGTTCAGAAAGGAGCGCCATCCACCACTGAGGACCTAGAAAATCTGCTCAATATTGTCGAACAGCGGTTCCAAGTGGAGGATGACAAACGACGTTCATCTATGCTGATATCGAAGGCGCAGCTGCGGGATGAGCTGAACCACGCAAAGGATCAGCTTGCTGCTGTACTGTCACAGTCACAAGAGTACAGTCGCCAGATCTTGGATCTCAACCAGGAGATGGCCAGTGTGAAAGAGCAGCTAAGGGAAAGTCATGCACATGTCAGGACGCTCCATCAGGATAAGCAGAGACTCGAGAAGCAAATGCATGGGCTAAAATCTCGGGTCTCGTCAGCCAGCTCAGCCCATGAGGTAACCAAAGAGCACGATGTGGACCGCGGTAGCAAGACTGGAGGTGGCCTTCGAGAGTTTAAGCTCAACCGCAGTAAGACTACACCGCACCCACCGCAACAACAGGCTCAGGATCATGAGCCAATGCCGGCCACGACGAGCAAGTTCAACAAGCGGATATCATCCCTGCCCCAGAACCACGAAGCCAGCGTACCAATGGTGACCACGACGGGGCCTGCGCCGTCTCAGAGTGAGCACGAGGCTTTACTAGCTGAGTTAGTCCAAGCCAAAACCGCCGAAGCAGTGGCGAAGCAAGAAGCTGAAGAGGCTCGGCAAAAGCTGGAGTCTATACGCAAGTCTCACGGATTGAGCCGCTCCGTATCAGCGCATGCTCCTTCGGCATCACAGTCTGGACCCGGTGGAGTGTTCAGTCTTCTTACTGGCCATGGGGTAGCTGCCACAAATGACGTCGCGATGAAGCCGCCATCGACGAATGCTGGATCTCCAGGATCTGGAGGCAGTTTCTGGGGTTGGCGAAGGTAGAGAGCTAAGATTGTGGCTTCGATCTCAACGAACGTCGAACCGTGTTCACGAGTCAATCACGCGACATGTCTTGAAGTGAAAGTTGTCGATTCTTTGTACATATTTTGGGAAGCATGAGATTCGTGCAGTCGAGCGCATATGTTGGGTTGTTAAGGCGAGAAGCTGGGAACTCTGAGTATTGGGCATGGGCCACATGTGCCCTTTTAACGGTTGTTTTCCTTGTTTTCACATGTGTCACTAAGGCACCATCATTGCCGTCATAAGGGCGTTTGTCTAGGTACTTAGCACGGGAGTTGGAGTCTAAAGATGACTTCTGTCGGGGTTTCTCAGAATGCCGCACGATCGCGGATTGATAGATACTATATAAGTCTATGTAATTAAAAAGACCTTTTTATTCATGAGATTTTTGCTTAACGATAAGGTACCTCCAATAATCTACTGGAAGATGATGGAGAAAATGGAATCAGAGTGAGGTACGTACTGGTAATTACCTTGGAAGGTACCGTAGTACCTAGGCACCTCTTTATGATGCAAGCCATCGATCGACGGGGAATCATTCAGCCTCTGAACTTGGCACTTGAATATGTCATGATCAGTACTACCTTTCAGGACTGAAATTGGCGCTATCTCAGATCGATGGAAATGTTCGATAAAATCTCATAAAATCATTGTCCCCTCTGGTTCACGAAGTTTATGGCATTAACAGTCACGGTCAGATAACTCTGGTATCCAATATGCAGTGTTGACGAATGAGGAAACAGCTAGATGCCATCATCGAAACTCTCCGTGTTGATATCCTCTTTTCTTAGTGACAAAATAACTCATAAGAATTCCAAGCTAATACTAAGCTTACCTAAATATTCTTCTTATTAAAAGTAGAGGTTCTAAGCTTTTTACTCTGTGAGAATATGAATATTTTGAGACTAAACATCCTTCAATGCTTGCCTAAAGCCAACAACACTAGAAAGCATAGTAGTTAGCCCATTTTCAACTTGTGGACAGTTTGTTATTATCTCTTCTTTCTTGATGTTACTGTCGTGGTGTGGTGGTGATAAGAAGATGCAGGCTTGTGCCCTTTGAGTTAGAGCTTTAGTGGCAAGGCCCTGTCATTTTTTGAGATAAAGAACCCCCCTTTTTAGTGCGACTTTCACATGCGTTAGAAATGACCAGATTATCACGTCAAAGCATCATACAGGTTTATGCAGCATTGCGGGTGAACTCTGAGGTATCCCGTACATGCATGCTTTGGCTCGAAATGGTAAACTGTCGTCTGTTTACTCTTGCTAGCTCCATATGTTAAAGAGAATTGACTTTTGTCAATTTCTTAGAGCTGCATGCCTGGGATGTCGTCGTTCAAGCTCCCTGATGACGGGATCAACCCTTGTTGACGGATCAGCTTGGACATTTGGAGAAGTGGTGACATTGGTGGTACCTGCAGCCGCTGACTGGTGGAGCGCATATGGGATGTACTCTATAGGTCTAGCACTGCGTCATGGGTAACAGAGCTCCACTGGCATCATGGTTTGGTAAGGTAAGATATCCAAGCTCCATCGTCCAGCTTCTGGACAAAGAGGAGCCCAGAGATCCAATGCTACGCAACAGGAGCTCTCTCGTTGACACCGGCGTTGTTAAGCGTCGGTCCACTAAAAGGAGATTTGCAGTGATTCACAGTAGCAATTCAAATCTTGCTGTAATGGACGGATAATGCGTGGGTACCACTACGAGCACCTGAAGTTGTGTAGCCAGTGTACGTACGAATACCGAGCCAGTTTTTTTTCTTTTGGTGGGCTCCATGGCTGGCGACTGTCGTCACTCGTTCGTTCCCCCGTGCCTTCCTTCCCACCTGAAGCAAGGACGAAACTTGGTCCCCTCCAACACCTAAAAGAGAAGTGTCCCGTCCTCTACGAACACAAACGTCATTCCTGATTCCTTCTCCTCCATCATACAAACTTGACTTCCTGGCTCTCAACGTGACTCTCTCAACCATCATCATCTCACCTCACATCACTTCGCTTCACCCGCGCTGAACATTTAGCACCCTCAAGGTACGTTTCACATGCCTTATCCTGGACCTAGTCTGCTGCCTCCGACGGGGTCTCTCGTTTCGCTTGACTTGCCTGTTCCTCTCACACGACCACTCACCTCGCTCCCCCGACCGGACGCCCCTTAAGTCTGTTTTTAGTCACCTATCGGCTCAGACGAAAAAAAAACGTTGCAGCTCTGTTGTAGGTCCAGAGACGTGGAGCGGAGCGAGCTAGAAGTCGCTACGTAGCAGTAGCTTGTCAGCGTCGTGCCCTTGTCCTTTTTTACCCTGCATTAAACAAACAAACCAAACTGTCCAAAATTTCTCTGGCCACTTTCGCTCACGCCGCTTTCGCTTTCTAGAGAACATCTTCTTCCGATTCACCTCCTATTACTCGTTCCCATACTTTCAACTACATCTCCACGACGGTTTTTTCAGCGAGCGCACCACTTCTTTACACATTCTTCACACTATAAACCGTCGAAATGGCTGATTCCACCTTGGCCGCCAACGGCAACTCTCTTCTTGAGACCACCAAGACCAGTGAGGTAAGTTTCCTTATGTTGAAATGCGCTGGCATTGTACGGGGCGCCTCGAACTCGAACATATTTGCTAACCTCACTTTACAGTGTTTTCCGCGATCTTTGCGCGACAATGGCACTGCCCGCAATGATACAGGACCTTCCCGCAGACCAGTATAACTAACTGACCTGACTTCCAGACGCCGCCGCCGCCTATCAGTCTGTCGCCAACGGTACGACGCTTCGTTACGAACCATGATTTTGACATGTTGCTAAAGCTCAATCTTTCCAGGCCCTGTTGCTCAGAACGTTTACGATCACACTCAGAAGGCCTCCAACGAGCTCTCTAACCTTGCTGCTGCTCGACGCACTCCCGCGAATCCCGCTGCTACCGGTCAGCCGCTCACACACTACCACTCATTCTTTTCTGAGCTTCTTTCATGGAACAACCCTCGTAAGTTGACTCTTGTCTCCTTTCCGACCTGCGAGAACTGACGCTGTGACACGATAGGCGCATCTGCCATTGCTTATGTGACTATCATCGGTGCTATCTTCACTGCGCGATACCTGGATCTTCTTCGATGGGGACTCAAGGTTTCGTGGATGGTTCTTGGTGTAACCATTCTTGCCGAGGTGCTTGGTAAGGTCATTCTCAACAACGGCCTTGCTACTCAGGTTCGCCCTCGTCGGTACTACACAGTGCCTCGTGAGACTCTGGATGCCCTTATTGGGGACGTTCATGAGCTCATCAACTTCTTTGTCATTGAGGCCCAGCGAATCATCTTTGCCGAGAATGTCTTTGCTTCCGCCGCCGTAAGTTCGATACTCAAAAGATTTAATAGCTGGAACTAACATTAAATAGGCTTTCATTGCCGCTTTCATTTCATACTACCTCGTCAAGCTTGTTCCTTACTGGGGACTTGCTGTCATCGGTACCACCGTCGCCTTCGTCGTTCCCTTGATCTATACATCCAACCAGGAGCTAATCGATGAGCAACTCCACCACGCTTCCGAGCTCATCAACTCCCAGACTGCCCAGATCCAGAGCGTCGCTTCGAAGCAGATGGAACAGGTCTCCAACATCAGCAAGCAGTATGCTGGCGACTACAGCGGCAAAGTCCAGGACCTTCTCCGTGGCAAGACTCCTTCTCGCCAGAAGATTGATAAGCCTGAGCAGCCTATTTCTGCCAAGCAGCCGCAGTTTCCCTCCCCTCCTACCGAGGACCCCGTCACGGCCACGGAGGCTCCTCAGATTCCTACCCCTGCCGCTCTCAAAGAGGAACTGAATGCGCCCACCGCTATCGACACCGCAGCCCCCGAGCTCCCTCACGAGGACGTCGTCCCCAGCAAGGAGCCCATGCTTGCTTCTTAAGTGACTAATAGGTGACACGTGCCATGTGCACACGAGCTCAGAAGGCAAAGCTGCCCCGAGCAATGAATATGTTTTACGGCATTTCAGGGCGTATGTCGATCCTTGAATTAGGAGCAAAGGTTGTTCAGATTGGACTCGGGCGTGAAATGGTTTCTTGGGAGCATTCTTTGACACGCAATGCGACGACGATTGTTGACGTTGATGAAGGGTGGTTAAAATACGGATTGAGCAGGCAGATGCTGATGTCAGGGAGAGTATTCCTATAGAAACTCTTGATTAATACGTATGGGAGGACATTGCATCTGGCCTGTAGCTTGTTTTTGTACGTTTGTGGTTCGAGGATAGGTGTTTAGGATTGTTACTGTGTAGCTTGCTGAAGCAAATGCTATTCACTCGACTTTTTAACATACTGAATCACTTCATTTCTGCTGTGTACGATACTTACACGATGTTGGTCATCAGACCCGGGAGTTGAATGTCCAAGTAATGCTATTGTGCTACCTGGAAGAAGGGTTTTATACTACGGTATGTAAAATGCAATATGATTGATCTTTTGATTCTCGAAACGCCAACCCAACAAGGTATACAACTAGCACCTTTCTAACCAATTGCATATAGTTCAAGCAACGGAGACGGAGATATTTACTCCCCCCTTTACTTCCTGCGCTTGCCACCACCTCCATCTTCGGCGGCTGCACGCTTGCGACCATTCTTCCTCCAGAAGTCCTTGGATTCCCGTTTCTCACGGGCTTCCTTTTTCTCCTCGCTGTCTGCCAACTTCTTCTGAAAAGCAGCACGGTTCTTCTCCTTTGCGGCACGACGCTTGGCAGCAGCGTCGTTACGGATTGTGAGTAACTGCTGCATGAGAGCCCGGGCTTTCTTCTCCTCGGAACCAGGAGCCATGATGACAGCACGCTTCTGCATGTATGTCTCTTTCTTTTGCTTCTTGGTTTCGACAATCTGCGACTTGAAAGGAAGGTCAGCAGCAAGGGCGCGGGGAACACGCAGAGGGTTGAAATGGCGGGTCTCTCGTTCAATAGTGCGGTACTGGCTGTTCTTGGGCTGGGGAGTAGGCACGTTCTGA